CGGCGGGTGCCGAAGGGGCCGTCGGTGCGGGGCGGCGGCCGGGCGGGAGCGGGCGGGCGGTTGTTGTCGACATGGACTTTGATGGTGGTTTCGGCTCTTTGCGGTTCAGGCAGCGGAATCCGGGGGACGCGGCGTTGGTGGGACGGGGGTGCGATCCTGCCGGGCGGCTGCGGAGGAAGGAGCATCCTTCTCCGGGAGTTCCTCCCGGGTGGCCGGAGGCGCGCCGCTGGGATCGCCTTTGGGAGATGCTCTGGGCACCGAACCCCCCCATCCCTCACGGCGCTGGTATGTCGGGCGGGTTTCTTGCTCTTCATCTCTCCTCTCGGCTGAGGAGGACCGCGGGCGGCCTGGCGCCGTGCTGTGGGAGGGCTGGGCTGCGTCCCCTCGCCGGCGTCACCATGGGTGGTGACCCACGGGGCGAGCGGTGGCCGTGGGGGGGACTGGCCTTCAGCACCCTCGGCTTGTGCTGCGGAGGAGAGGAGGAAGAGCTGGGCTTGGAGATGGGGGGATACCTTATTCCTCCCATCACCTCACAGTGGGGTTACTGGCCACAAAGTCCTCAAAACCGAGCAAAAAAAGAGGGGTGCTGCTCCAGCTGGGCACCGGTGGGGTTGCCTGAGAAGAGGTAGTTACCCCCTAAAGCGATATGAGTGATGGAGAACAGGGTGGTAAATGGTGAGGAAGCACCTCTCTTAAGCCACGTTCCATCTTCAGGGATGACACGAGACAACTGTATTTGGTGGCCGAGGTGGTGGGAGGGTTTCTTGTCGGCCCTGGCTCTGCCAGGCTTCCTTGGCTGTCCCAGGCTTGAGCACAGCCCGGCGCAGGGAAGGAGGGTTCCCTTCATCTGGCACCTTGTACAACACAGGTTTAATAACGTGAGATCAGCCACGGCAAAAATTGTAAAACATTTAGAAACATCGCGTGCTTTCTCATAGTTCAGGAAGTAGGAGTCCAAATCAGGTTTCTAACACCAGTCATTTAAAAAAAAAAAAAAAAAAAGAAAAGAAAGAAAAATACAGGGATTTATGCTAAAGTCTTAACAGAGTGGTATTTTTAACCTTTAAGTACACACAGATTCGTTTTTCTTCTGAACATTATGTTCTGCTGAGGAAATTCTTTATGTAATTTGGTTCATACGAGTGGCACGAGGGGCTGGGCAGAGCCTCCCCACGCTCACGTCTCTGGGGACAAGGTGGGTCGGTGGCAGGGTCCCGGTGGGGACGGGGAACCGGTGATGCTGCGGGGCCGTGTGGGCCACGGCTGCCTTGCCTGGCCCCCGGCTCCTTGGGCATGAAGGCAGCAGCTCAGTTAGAAGGAGAAGCTGGCATATCAGGAGCGATGAAATTCAAGAAAACAAATTCTGGGGGAGAGCCGTGAGACAGAGTGATTTTTGATTATTTATTTTTTTTCAGGCTGATGCAGTTCTCTATTGCAATTCTGGGCAGCTTTCAAATAGCTGGAGAATCTGGTTGTTAACTTCTCGTTTTGTTCTCCTCGGCTGATTTCTGCTAATTATTGGTGACGTGGTTGTGATTTTAAAACGTGGGGCTGTGTTTTCCTGCGCGTTCCTGTGTGAGACGAGGTCTGCTGTTGCATTCCTGGTTCTGATTCCCAGTTTTACAGTTGGCTTCAATACACGGAGATCAAAGAACAGGACGGGGCTGTGTGCTGCTTTTCTTGTACTCTTCTCCGGTTGTTCCTGGGCAGATCCTGGCCATCTCCTTCCTTCTGACTTTAATCCAGTGGGACCTTTGCCTTTGTAAGGGCATCCCAAGGCAAAGCAGTGTGCCTCATCCATACCTTATGATCTGCAGCTCCATATGTTTGTAGTCCAATCTTGTGACGGTTACTACAATAAAGCGCGACCCTGTCAGCCTGAGATACTGATCCACTGTTTTACCTGCTGCTGCTGCTGCTCATCAGTTCTGGCAGGATCCCCAGGCTGGGCAGCAGCCAGAGACCACAGAAGGAGGAGCTTTCTTGCTTGTAAAGATTTGTGCATCTCCGTTTGTCATCTGCAGCAGCCTGTCTTTGGCTTGCACCTGTGGAGGACAGTAATATACTTTAGAAACAGGGCTAGAGCCTAAGTTTTAGATAAAGTAGCTTAGTGTTTTAACATTTTCCCTAAGGTGGGCTGTTAATAGGTAGACTGACACCACAATGGCATGGAAGTTCTGTGCTATATATTGCACCTGTGGAGGACAGTAATATACTTTATAAACAGGCTAGAGCCTAAGTTTTAGCATGAGTATAAGTAGCTTAGTGTTTTAATGTTTTCCTGAAGGTGGGCTCTCAATAGGTAGACTGACACCACAATGGTATGGAAGTTCTGTGCTATATGTAGGAAAATGCCAGTTTCTACTCTAGTTCATTCAAAACAGCATCACAGGATTGTGATAAACCAACAGGCTGCTTCATTTCTCCCCAGTGCCACGCTTTAAAGCAGTGTGACCTTGGTGTGGGACTCAGCTGGGGTCCCTGACGCCCTGTGGTGGTACACCTTGCATTTTCCCAGCTGTGGGGAAAATGTTTGTAGGGGTCTTCTCCAGGTTATAGATTTGTAGCTAATACATACAGAGGGTGGGATGATAATTGTAACAATCGTGGGCTTTGCTGAAAGATGTGTTGAATCAGCATCTTTCCATGTTACGCGTGTCAAGGAAACAGCTACAGGTCTGTGTTACAAACTTGACATCCATTTGTTATGTGTTGTCTCTGTTCACTCACTGGTTCTGAGCATTATTTTGTATTTGGGTGTGGGTTCTTAGAGAGTTTCAGATCTCCTCTGTGACCATTAGCTTTTCCTTCCTCTGAACCAAGGCATTTCTCTGTAATTCTGTGGCTGAGTTCCTTCAATTTCAAGTAAACTTCCTGCAGACAGAGCTTCTGAGAAGCTCTGCATCTTCTTCACGCCCTTCTTTCTTCTACAGCCTTGCTCTGAGGCCTCACTCGCTGAGGAAACTCCATTGGTCCACTCCTACTCATCCAGAAAACAGGCTTTCATAAACATTAGGCATCCTAGTCTTGTTTGTGTGAGGGCACGTTAAGTTAATTACTCTCCCTTGTCCATGGTCTGGCAGAGTCTACTGAGAAAGGTCTGCTTCCTTGTGTTCTGAGACATCCTGGGGAAAAAACCACCAGGCATTGAAGAAGCAGAATTAATACATTGTACGTATTTTCTCCAGAATGGTAGTATGTGTGGTTACTTGGACAAGCAGTTAAGCGAGAGCAGAACTTGCAAGAACTTCTGAGCATCATCTTCCCCTCTTGCCTTCAGGCTGCTCTCTGAGCTGCGAGCAATTCCGGTAAATAAACCGCTGCACTGGAGGGGGGAGGGAGGATTTCAGGACAGACTGACAGGGTACAGTTTTACTTTCATGAAATCAGACAGCTACCGAGCACACAATGTTCTTTACTTTTAACAAGACATTTTTCCTGGATGAAAAGTAACCTTATGGCTGCTGAGGACTGTACCTGCTGGCATTGCTAGTATTGGTGTTTTCAAAACCTACAGGTTCCTTGCTGTACTTCACCTTTGATGGCTACATCAACCATCCTTTCACTGAAGAGCCTTTTGAAGGAAGCTGGAGGTCATGCCTGGTTCTGAGAAGCGAGTGTGTTGTTCCCCCAGTCAGTTACAAACTGGCTTAGAAGCCTGCAAAATTTTTATCAATTCTGGCCATAGGAGGGAAAAAACTCAAGCCGTTGAAATTCCACCGTGTACCCTGAGCCAGATAACCAGGAGACTTTCATTGACATGCTAATCCTGCACAGCAGTTGTTTGTGGTTCCTGCATCCAGCCCTTTCCAATCTGTAGCTCTTATCTCTCGCTGGCAGTAAGCAACAGAGAGGGAGAGGACGGCCCTGCCAGGCATGAGAGCTTCGTTTTTTGCTCTTCATTTCCTGAGTTGTTTTGGGGGGTATGTAGGTATTTCAGCGATTGCCAAAGGTAGCTGGATGTTGGGGATTGCGCTTGTCTTAAAAGAACTCTCGCTTTTTAAAACTTCCTTTTTCTATGGTTAGGAGGAGACTTTTTAAACATTATTCCAGTGTAGCTGCTCTGTAGGATTTGCAGAAGACTGGATGTTAAGGAGAGGCAGAAGTATAAAACTGGTGGATTGGACTGCTTTGAGAGCCCCTGCCTGGGGCAGCTCTGCGTGGGGAGCCTCTGAGTCCTGCCGCGACACAGGAGATGCTGTGCACCACGTGAATGATTCATCCCTCCACCATTTATGTGCCGTTGCTGTGTTCAAAACTGCAGAATATACACAAGCATAATATCATGTATCCTCCTGAGCAACGTCCCGCCTTCTTAGGGAGAGGAATGGCAGATGTAGGATGTTCTGGGTTTCTGTTTCTCTCCATTATTAGACAGAGAACGTAAATATTTAATGTCCTCAGGTGCGGTTCAGAGGTCTGGATGCCTAAATGCTTTACCTCTGCTGGTACCTCAGTTGGGTCACCTGCCTTGAGTTTGAATATCTTTGTTACAAAGAGTAACCTTTATTGTTTCCAGGATTATGACAGCACTGTGATTATCTGATTATTCTCCCTATGCACTTGGATGGTGAACGTCCAGGTCTCAGAGAAAGCTCTGAGAGGGAGAAGGGAAAACCAGGTAACTTTTAAGCTTAGGCAAAAATGGGGCACTCCAGATGCTGGCGTATTCCTGTATCCTTGCTGAAACTGTCCTTCACTGGACTTGCTGGGGAAGGAGGTTGGCATCCTGCATGTAGCAGGGGAGCCACCAGCCTAAGCAGTGGCCCCTCTGTATGCCCGGGATTAGGTGCTGTGTATAAATTGTTGGAGCCTGCCATTCAATCTGATTTCTTAAGTGCTGTATCATCCTTTTACCTCTGGCAAAGTCAAACGCTGGGGGCAAACGGGCAAACAGACTTCTGCAAGGCCGGCACGGCAGATTCATCCTGACTTTGTGGTGAGATGTAACTTTGACATCTTCGTTTGTGCTAAGTCTTATTTATTGGTTCCCTTTGCAGAGTCCCGGTCGTGAAGAGGTCTGGGCTGGACTGGGGACAAGTGGGACAACTTGCCAAAAGCAGGTACAGTTTGGTAAGTAGCTCAGTAGCGTGTTGAGCGTCTTCTGGATACCGAGGAAAAAACGACAAGCCTCCCTGGCTGAAGGAGGGTTACAAGGAGTCGTATTTGAACCTAAAAGTTTGGAAAGTGAGAAGCCTCGTTCTGTCACAGCAGAAATGACTCTGTGTGCTCAGCTGGGCAAAGCTGCACTAAGCTATTTTGAATAGTATGGCTTATTTTTAATCCAGTGGCTGCTATAACAGAAAGCGTTATAGAAAGCAATTCCTTGCAGTATAGATTGAACTTCGAGGAGATTTTTTCAAAGGTCTTATGGGTGGAAACCATTTACATGGTAGCAGGAATTTACTTGCCTGTGATAGCTAGAGATGTTGCATAACAGCCTGTCTTCATCATATTCCAGAAAGGCGGGCAAAACTCTTATTTTTGGATAGCTCACATTTTTCCTTTTGTGATTATTTCTTAGTGATGATTTTAATACCTTACAAAGTCTTGTTTATCTCAGTAAAACTGCAGTTGTGCTAGTCATACTTTCTTCCTGTATTTTCTATTGTGTAATAGTGAATTGCAGGCAGCCTTTTACCATTGTTTTGTTTCCTTCAGTGGTTAGAAATGCACTCACCTTGGCAGGAAGCACTTAGCCAGGCTGGCACAGAGGCTGCGTAGTCCTCTCATGCAAGGTAAGCTCAGCTGGGTATGTGGTACCACTCCCTCAATGTTTTCTCTCTCCTCCTATTACCACATGTAGTAAATAACATAATAGGTGAAACAACACCTGAAGTTGTCCTCAGGGATGTCCATTCCAGGGATATGGAAGGGAATCGATTGTTTGCAGGACTCTTCTTAAAATAATAAATGGTGTTTATAGTATTGAAGTTAAATGAGGTATTTAAAAGCATATTGACTATGTGTCCACTGAAATTGAGCACAACTAGGAACCTGTATTATTCAGATGAGTTAAATCAACGTTTCACTTGCTCTAAAATCGGAATTTAAAAAAAGAAGATGTTTTAAGGCACGTGATGGGGCTGCTTTAACTCCTGTTTGACAGTGTAATGGAGCAGCTTGCAGCTCCCTAACCTCTGCCTGCAGCTAAGCACAGCAGCTTGTCACGTGGGGAACTGCATCTGCAGAGGTTTTGGCCTGAGCCTCGAACCATCTATGCAGTGGTTTCTGAGACAAAACTGGCAAGAGATTAGAGCTTGGACACTGAAAGAAACAGACTCCTATCAGATAATTTTGCCTTGTGCAGTTACTGAATGAAATATCGTTCTGGGAGTAAAATGAGCTGCTTTCTTTTTTTTTTTTCCCCACCCCCTCTGAGGGTGTGAGCATTGTGAGAAAAGCTAGAGATGTTAACATCTATGTCAGAACTTAATACTCTGTAGATGAGTTAAGTGATGAGGATTTAAACAGCGTTTCACCATGTATGTGCAAGCAGTGGTTGTCAGAAAAAAAACAAGCAAGCAGTCAGAACATGAAAGGCAGCTTCATTTGCGATCATTTATGTGCCAACAATTATTAACTCCAGCAGAGCAGGCAAAGTATAAAACTTACTGCAGCGACTTGGAAAGTACCGTGCTGTATAAATAATGAAATGAGCAACAGTCAAGAATTCAAACTAGGGTCGATAACCCTGCTTTTAAGCTCAACTAGTAATCAATTTGGAACAATTTAGTTGTCTCGTATGCCTTGCTGTCTAGAAGTTTTATAGCCTGCCCCTTCCTCTGTGGAGTGCAGGCAGACAAACAGTTGATTTAGCCCAAATGAAAAGGCAGAGGTAAGAAGGTGGGAACAGGTAAATCCTGCAGAGGAAGATGCTGACCTATGGAATTTCTTCCTACCTGCTTTAAGAGGTGTTTGTCCCCCTCTACTTCCATTCCCTCCTCCTTTCTGCTAGGCATTAACTCATCTGCCGGTGTCCCCTAACAGAAGAGGAAAGGAAATCTCTGGTTGTAGGATGAAAACATCTTAAAACAATGATAAAATACTAACTAAAGCTGCCTACCTTTTAACAGATGTCCTTTAAAAAGCACAAAAAAGGGTAACATATAAAAGAATATGGCTCCAAACTTAGAGAAAAGGTCCAAATCTGAATAGTCATTAAAGTGTCACGGATGAAACTCATAAAATATTTTGTTATATCAACTGTGGCACAGAGCATTTGTATGGCTGGGGAATTTGAGGTTTAAATCTACAGTATTTAGAGCTCTGACTAAGCCTAAGGAGGACATGACATCTAATCTAAAACTTCTAATTGTCACTGGCAGTGTAGGGAGCAGGGATTAGATGGCACACCCGTGTGCTCAGCTGGGTAAAGACTGCAGCTTTCAGGTACCAGCAACGCTGGGTCATAGATGCTGTTAGTGATTCTTTGCCATATTAGATACTTCGAGCTACGTATTTGTCAAGAAGAGCAAGTGGAAATTATTAATGTTTCATTAATAGTAGATATTGAAATCAGACATGCAAAAGATAGTACTACTAGAAAGTTTTGAATTATTCAGATGTCTGAATTGCTTTCAGACATCTCCTTGGCCTCTGGCCTGTAAGCATGTTCTGTAAGCATTTTAAGTTTCATCTATGTGTGTTGTTGGTAGACATGGGTATAAAGCTCATGGGGTTTTTATACACCTCCATAGGGGTAAATGTGGTTCCTTGTGCAGTGAAGGGAATCCTTTTACTCATTTAATAACAAGTCATTACAGTAAAAATCTCACTTAGCTCTCCTCTGTGTTGGGTCAAACTACAAATGCCAGCAGCAGGTTTATGTTACAGGCTTGTTAACTATATTGCCTACTCTAAAGTACACTGGGACATGCTGCAGCGTGTCATTATGCACAAAAGGAATTTACTGAATTTTATTGAAGTGATTTACAAACATTTATCTAAGAAGTTGCAATGTTCTGATACAAAGCTCAAGGTATAAAAATGTCTGTACATAGTTTGTGGCTTCAGAAGCCCTTCAGGCCTGACTTTCTGCTGGAACACCAATGACTGCTTCTTAGTGTTGGCACTTTCAGTCCCACAAACTGTTGTCTAAACAGGTAGCGATGTTTTCATCAACTGGCAGAAAGAGGAGAGAAGCTTGTCACCAGCAACCTGATTCTCAGGAGTCAGCTGTTGGACTGGGGAATTCCCTTCCTACCTGTGAAGCATCATTTGCCTGCAAATGGGATTGATTTCCTCTGCAAATATTTGCCCGTGATCAGGTTACTGGATTGGAGCCCCTAAATAAGGCTTAACATCTTTGCCATGATGATGTTTTCAAAGGCTATTTACAAAAAAATCTTTTAACTTTGGCTGACCTTAGTACAACGTCATCGGGTGAAGCTGTGGGGAACAGTTGGTTTCTGTGCAGCACAGTCTTTATTTTGGCTGGCAGTCTATTCACTCTGATAAGCGGGTAAGCTCATGCCAAGCAAAGGCAGGCGTATCCTGAGATTCTGCTTTGCCTGTGTAAGAGAAAATAGCCCGAGAAACAGCTTTGTAGGCCAGTAAACAAATAAAAAAACATCTACCAGAATTTAGGGCTGCCCAATTCTGATTCTTGAGGAGTTTGACAAAGGGACCCTGACAGGTGTTTTGCTCCTTGCTCTCCCATCTCTAGATCTAGAGCTGTCCTGCTTTAAAGAGGACTCTGACTCTTAAAGAGGACAGAGCTCTGGCTCTGTCAGACCTGCTGGGAACACAGCACTCTGCCGCTGTCCCTCACCTCACAAGGCAAAAACCAAGCAGCAGCTCTGGTTTCTCCTGAATGCCTTCTCATGACTGCACGCTCGAGCCTCCTTGAGCACCAGCAGAGTGACACTGAGAATTAGCATCACTCCTGCCCAAAGGGTGTGCCACAGCCATGACACAAGGCTCCTGTTAGGTGGTGGTTGTGGGATGCTTCTGTGCGGTGTTTTTGGGTTTTATTGTTTTTCAGTAGCAGCAGTTGCTGGAGTTTAACAGGATTTGTTTACAGACTCAGGAGAATATGACTGCATTGTCAGTTTGGAAGAAACAGCCTGGGGTTTTTTTTTTTAGGACCTTTACATTCCTAGATGGCTTGCATCACGTACTGGGAATTGCATTCAGAGGCAGCTTGAATTCAGGTCAAGCTTTGCCTACTTGTAGTAGATGGATGTTAGCGATAAAAACATTCTATGTACACCATGCAGAGATTTATTGAAGTTGCTTCTACAAGCGTCTGCGGTGAATTTAGCTTTCTTTTGAGCTCTCTGAGAATGGCAAACTATTGCATTTATGTGAAACACTGTTTTGACAGATTTCTTCAGAAGTAAAGAAGCACAAAAGGGGACGTTCTGTTCTTTGAAAATAACTGGAGCCACTGGCAAGAAGCAGCAACACTGTGCATCGAACAAGGAAACCCTTTCCAGGTTACCAAAACATGCTGTTGAACTGAATTTTGCAGCTGCGTTTTCCAATGTACCATGGGATGCATCAAATCCAAGGACGCCTTTCCGGGTTCAAATGCTCTCCAGGATGAAGGGATCAGGGGAGGTAACGAAGGCTGCACCGGGGAGAAGTCGTCGCTGATAGCGGTGAAGGGGGATGAGAAGGGCCCGTCGAGCACCATCGTGCTGGACTACGCGCACCGCCTGTCCCGGGAGATCGTGGACCAGGCCGTGAGGCAGTGGGCAGTGAGGGAAAGCAAGTACAGCGACATCCCCTTCATCGAGAGCGACGTGCCCTGAGCCCCCCCGGCAGGGACTGCCTTCACCACGGGTGTGCTGTCTGTTAAGCACTTTGTAACTGGTACCAGTGCAAATAAAAGTAACATCAGCTGTGATTCCAGCATAACGCCGCTATACGAGTGTGTCTGCAAGGAGAGGCTGAAAAAATTTGCCTTTAAATCTGTATTGCTAAGGAACTAATTGGATCACAGTAGAACCTATTAATCAAGCGTCATTTGTTATCAGCCGTATGTTGAGTATATTCTGTCCTTGTACGTGTTGAATGTGATCAGAAATCCCTGTTAAAAAAAAAGACCAGAAGAATGTGGCTGCCTTGCGACCGTACAAGCGCTGCCACAGAGGCCCCAAAGATGATTAAGGACAAAGTGTGGATTATTTTTATGTACAGGTTAAAAAATCAGTGGCCTGTTTGTAGGTGAAAAGAGAAGAACTCCTTATGCTTGGTAACTCTGTCTGCATTTTGCTAAAGTGAAACCAAGGTCTACATGTAGCAAAGGTAACTGCTGTCATAAATTTTACTTTGATGCTCTGACCTGCCTAAATCTGTAAGCCACAAAATAAGGAAGGCGATGAGAAGCGTTTTATGCAACCAAGTAGTATTCAGGGAACCGTATGGATTGTGGTACTACTCAACTCCCAGTCTTAAGGGAACCAGAGAGAAACGTTACAATATTGGTAAACAGTGCATTATAATTAACAGATGCTCTGGATTCTGTAAATGCGTGAAGGCTATTCTCTAAAATCCTGCACTAAGATAGTTTAATTACATCTGATCACTGTGTTCAGCCAAAGCTGTTTGGTTTTTTGTTTTGTTTTTTTCCTTTGGTGCCAGGGTGCTGGCTTTTGGGGGTTTGGTTTGGTTTTGTTTTTTACTTAAACCCAGATAGATAGGTGTGCAAAAACTACTGATGCTAACTGCTGAAACGAACCTTCAAAGGCACAGCAGTCTTTCTTACAGGAAGATTCAATCTTACAGGAAGATTTCACTCTGAAGTTACACACCCTTGGGACAGTCCTGAGGTTCTGCAGGCTCCGGTAAAAGCACGTATGGCAATGCAAAGCTGAGCTGCAGGCACCTACAGCCTGAGCACTGCACTGAAACAGAGAGTAAGCCTCATGCCCAGAGCTGAAGGGCTGTGTTCCTCACCCACTGCATTGAGCTGGCATCTCACGCTGCACCCTGCTCCTCCAGGACTTGCAGCCCGACCTGCTGTGCTCACAACTGGCGTTTGAGAGATCAAGAAAGGGATTAATTACTCAGAGTCACCTTAAAGCTAAAATTTTGCTGATGTTTTATACAAAGTGGATGCCTTGGGATTTTAGCACCAGTTTGTTCAGTTTTGTTACAATTTAAAAGATGCGTATTTTCTTCCTAAATCAAAGTGCTTTCCATGTTATGTTTTCATTTTATAGCAAAATGCTTTCCATACTGGCAAAAACTGTTACTATTTTTAAAAGGTAAACATAGTTCTCGTAACTGATCCAAAGCATGATTTTCAAGCCACGGTAAGCAAGCAGAAAGAGGACCATGCAAATCGTTATTTTTAGCTTATTCTCAAACCTAAGACAGTCTATGAATTAAGCTGGTTTGCAAACTTTGTGACACAAACTTAGTTATTTAAAATTCCCCTGTGTTGGAGAAGTGGTTGGATCAAGGGTAAATGGTGAAAAATAGTTCTTTGTAACGCAGAACAAGACTTTCATTAATTCACACTGATCAGACCCTGCTAGTAAGACTGTTCTCCCTTTTTTGCTGAAAAAGGGGAAAAAAATCTGCCTCTGTTGTGATGTTGTCTTCTTTGAAGCAATGTAGTTTTCTTTGAAGCCATATGCAAAGTGGAACTAAAGTATTCTGGACCATTTAAATTCCACTGCTAACAGTGATGTTCCTTGAAGCTCTAAAGCGTGTAAAACATTGATTCATACCCCACCTTTGCTGTATCTAAGAAAACTCCATGCCATATGCTAGGGTGAATTAAAAAGCAAAGGCAAAACACCGATCAGAGCAGTACATATTAATCGGATATTGCTTAACCACAGTATTAAAAAAAGATATTCCTATTCTTATTATAGATAAAATGGAGTTTTATTACAAAAAAAAAAAAAGGATGGCCTTTCTGCAGCATTAGCCTTGGCTCAAGAATGTTATTATGGTCTCAATATGGACCATGATAAAATAAATAAAGGCCGGGGGGAAGCCCAAACTCTACGGATGTTATTTGGCAGAGAGGTGAATAGCAGATAGCAGGCTGCACTCGCTTTAGGAGTGTGTTCAGGTGTCCCTGTGTTGCCCCTTGTGGCTTGGTGGCTGCCACCAAGTTGGGTGCTGCAGCGCTCGCTGGCACGATGTCTTAAATCCTCCCTTTGGCTGTGGCTGTAGCACCCGGCGCTCCTCCGCAGTCAGAGTATCACAGGCACTTTGGAAAGCAGCTTCTCCCTTGGCAGCTGCCACCACACGGCCCAACAGCAGGCAGGGTTATAAAATAACGTCAAACAGCCTCGAGTGAAGCCATAGCGTACTGATCAACCCTCAAAATTCCCCCAAAGGAGAAGGTTACCCCAGGTATAATTAAAGGTGCCTCACGGTGAGCTTCCTTTTTGGGGTGCCTGCTGTGTGGGAGGGCTGCACTGCTCGCTGAGAGCCACCCGTAACGCGGGAGCGACTGAATTCCCCCAAAGGAGAAGGTTACCCCAGGTATAATTAAAGGTGCCTCACGGTGAGCTTCCTTTTTGGGGTGCTTGCTGTGTGGGAGGGCTGCACTGCTTGCTCAGAGAGCCACCATAATGCGGTAGCGACTGAATCCCCTGCTGCTCGTTATGTCCAAACAGTCATTTACCTGCCACCGCAGAGCTCGTCTTCCCTCATTAACGCCTGACGAACGCGGCAGCTTCAATATGGCCTGAAGTGCAATTCCAGCTGGTTTATGATGCTTCCCATGACATTGGCACTTGGGGAAAGCAGGCAGCAAATGGAAAGCACACAAGCTTGCAAACAACAGGGAGACAGCTTCTCACCAGGAAAATAATCTCTTTTACAAGAGGCTGTCCTTAATAAATAATGCACTTAATAAAAAAAAAAAAAAGAAAAAACTGTTCGATAGTACAACCTGGTGAGAGATCAAAGGAGATCTCATTCCAGAGTTCTGCTGTATTTTTAATAGGCACAACAGTAATACATCATAATAATAAATATAAAGACTTCTTTACCAAAATAAAATGACATCTGGTTATTTATCATTAGATTACTCTAAACTGTGCTATAGTCTTATAAAGCCACTTATAGTGGCTTTCCAGCTAAGTTGCCACTGATTCTCTGACTTGATTTTCTGTAATAAAGGCACTCCAGTATGGGACTGGCATACTCTGCAAAAACATTTACTTCTATTTAGGAGTTAAAAATACATTTGCTTTATATTTTCTCCAGGAAACATTAAGTATAGTCTGAGTGGGTACTACGTGACTGACTTGATATTCTCATAATGGTTCAAAACACATTAACTGCAGCACAACTTTGTAAAAGTGACATTTCTGTAGTAAGACACATCAGTATTCCCAAATAAAACACATTACAATATATTTTTACAATATTTTTGTGGAAAATACTTTCTTGTGGACCAAATAAAATGAAACTTACCATTTGCTTGTAGACTCTCATTTGATAAAATGCACAGATTGGACAGGGGCTTGTTACCATGAGTTTGGGGTAATTCCCGTCCACATACATTTTGGAAGCAAGTGACCGTGCAAGTCAGTTTATTGATTCAGAAGTAAACTCTTGCTAAAATGTTTTGAGGCCTTTTTATACGAGAAGGTGTGATCCCTACTCCCTGGGGATTACTGTCTTTCTCATTAAATATGTTGCTGAAGATTGCTCCTTTTGTTTAAAAACCTAAAACATATAAACATTTTGAAAAATAAGGGGGGGAAGGTTTACATTCCTTACAAAACCAGGATGAGGTAGAAATTCAAGTAATTTTCAGAAGTTACCCTAGAGATATTAATGAAATCTCTCGACTGCTTTTGACTGTCTCATGACAAATATGTACATGGTAACATTAACTGGCAGCTTAAATTTTAACAATTTTATATTAAAGATTCTAGTGACCAAGCAAGGTGCCCTATTTCTTGGTTTTGCTCTCCATTTTGCTCACCTCTAATTCTTTGAAAGTCACTCTAGTAGTTCACCTTGATGCCTGTATTTCCTGGACTTTGTTTCCAGGCAACAGCTTCTAGGAAGAAAAGAGCCTTAAGCCAGTGCAGACCATTACTGTCGGTAATAAAAGCTGCCCAACGTTGAAAACTCCGTAATGATTCTGCTGTAGCTCTGACTTTTTGATTCCCCGGTGCTGATTACTGACTACCTTATCTGAACAAAAGTTTTCTTCCTTTAGTCTCAGTGGTTCATCTTCAGAGAACCCAAAATTTGTATTTGTGACGTGCCTATAACCGTAGAAACAAGTAGGAAGAGATAGTGATATATGATTTGATTAACCATAAAAAAAGCAGGCAGTCTTAATGCTGAAGAAAGCTTAGTAGCTATGTGTTGCATACACAATAGAAAAATTAATTTTACACCCCAAACCCCCCCAAAAGATTTTACTTTTATCAAGGGGCTCTGGCAAGTATTACTAGTATCAGAACCCAGCAACCTTTAATGCATATCTGACGAGGGGTTTTTGATGCACATTTAAATTTTGATCCCAGCAAATACATTTTTTAGGATATGTTGTGTTAAAAAGGTTTACGATCCGTGTAGCAGCAGATACTTCATGTTTTCCCCTATTTGTTATCTTCAGTACATATTGCTGTGTTCCCCCTCCTTTTCCCGGATTTGCCACCCACCAGAAGGATGTTCGTGGGCACAAGAAAGCGGGAACCCAGGCCTGTTGGTGCAGATAAAGCTGCAGCCGCTGGTAGCACGAGGCTGAGCTCTGCCACTAAAATCATTAGACAATCATTAACATGAACAGGAAACGTGCTGTTTAGTGTTCAGGCGAAGGTCTGAGACAGTTATGTCTTCACCACTGCAAGATCAGTTTTTGAAATCACAAAAAACTGGGTTTACAAGCAAACAGAAGCGTGCTCTAGGCTGGGGCAATATGTTGACATTTGAAACAATGTCTACATCAGGTAGCACGACTGAATACCCACCAACTCTTAAATCAATAGAACCATTTCTTGCTCTCAGACCAATAATGTGTCAGTCTGACCTTTTATTGAAAAGACTACTTAACACCATGGACTCAGCATGTCTTGCATTTTCCTTTGTAGTTCCAACCATTTTAAAGCTTTAAGTATATTTGTTTAAAAAGGAATCTAAGGCACCATCCCAATTTAACGGATCACAGACAGACAAAGGTCTCCTGACTTCTTGCTTATTAGGTCAGCCCTTAACTATACTGTCTCCCCCAAAGGCTCCTCCTAAACCAAGAGCTAAAAAAATTAAATATTAATCATTGTGTAAAGTGGTAAAAATAACAATTTGCCTTGAAGTAATTTTTCCCCTTATTAACCAGTGTTACAGCAGCATAATTAAAGAGAATGTTCACAAATGCAAAAAAAATAGACTTACAAAGCTCAGGCTAGCTAAAGAGTCTTGTCAAACTCCATTATAGCACTATTAACTTTTATATCAGAGAATTAAGCAGATGTATAAGATGTCGATAGGCTTGATCTTTACAACTTGAGATCGTTGTTTCCCAGTGGCTTAAAACAATCATTCACAAACTCATCACTGACTTCTTCTAAAGCAGCTGGCTTCCATCTGGGGGACTGGTCTTTGTCAATCAGCACTGTCAGGTGGAGCATAAAAACACAAAAGTTACTTGTAAGCTTTCTCTAATTAAGATGACTTCAGATTGCATCAAGACAGACATATAGAGTGAATCCATGGGGGAGAAGAATCAATACGGTCTGGAGGAGACACGGTTGTTGTAACACAGCTATTTCTACTGTAATAAAAATTACTGAGTTGTGACCTGTCTGGAGACCTGTCTGGAGAGCTGCCTGGTGATACAAGGCATGGTGGATGACTTCAGAAGCAGCCCAAGCTTTGAAGGAATAGACCTGAAATTAGTGCTTTCTCTTAGACCTACTGCTGCTCCTGGCTTCTGCTCTTTCACGTGGAGCTGGGAACAGGATGCGTGATGCTTCTTTTGGACAAGGGCTTTTCACATCTCTGTGCAAAATCTGAGGCTTGGTAGAGGAAATGATTGATGCTTCTTTTGGACAAGGGCTTTTCACATCTCTGTGCAAAATCTGAGGCTTGGTAGAGTAGAGGAAATGACTCAAAGTAGGCGTTAAATGCCCAAAGCTAATTTAAGCACATCACATGAACTAATAATGAAATAACTAATGAGAAAATAGTAAAGCAGAGTATCTTTGTGCAAAAATCAAGAATATTTGTTTGTAAATACTGACGGATACTGCAGACCTATGTAGATTTAACTGTGAAGATTTGTATAGTCTTAGTCTGTATACTTTACACGGTAGCCTGGGAAATGCACATCACTGGAGATAAAATTGTCAGTGAATGAATTGCATGTTAAAAGTGTAACAAGAAAATATCAATTCTCAAACAGCATTCCTTGTGTTACAGAACTGCTGAAGGCATGTCAGCAAGAACAGCTGCACTAGCAAACAGTAACAAGACAAGAGAGTTTATTTGTGTGTAAAAATGAGCAATATGAATGGAATTCTAGAGTGTCCTTCCAAGCACCTTTGTGGCTCCAAGAAAACCCACAAAGCTGCTATTCAAAATGTGAAATTTTTCTGATTTAAAAAAGAACAGCTATAGTAACTGTGGCACTCTAGGAAGTACTGCCACCCAACATCCCTCCTCAATACACATCCCCTTCAGATGTGTGATATCAGCACCTGATTTGAGATGCACCTGCATCCTGGGAGGCTGCCTGACCAACACAGCCCACAGCATATAGGGGAGGGCAGCACACACCTCCTGAGTTCCTCTGCTGAGAGTAGAGTTTGTTCATTCTTTTTGACAAAGACTTTAGAGTAGGATGGTTCTAAAGGCACGTGGACAAAAGACACTCACAGAGACTAGATATTTTGAAGACTAATAGCTAAGGTAAGTTGTCACGTCTTTCTAAACAGATTTCATTCTTGGTGACTAAACTAGAACTATCTGGGATGAGAAATGTGTGAAGGAGTTGGATTTTAAGTTTGGTGGAAAGAATGTCCCCCTAAAGATTGTGTGCTGTTAAAAGACAGGCATTATGGCAGCTTGTGGTAAAAAATGTGACTTGAAATCTTCTTTTTTATTTTTTCCCAACGCTGGGAAAATGCCTAGAAAATAAATGTTGTTCAAATGATAACAGCTCTAATTAATATTTCTGTGGCTGAAGACATATAAGCATCACAACTCTTCAGCTTGCATCTCCAAGGAGAATTGGAGCCCTGTGCCTATTTACCTGCAAATACAAGGCTCAGGACTCTTTGGATGCAAATAAACACTGATTTGGAAAAGAATCCCATTAAACAGATAGAAGCTGTAATTCCACAGAGAGTAGAATCCATGTGGACAATTATTTAAAAGAAATGTGCTGTAAGAGAGCGATTTCACTAAGGAATTCAACTGGGAAACTTACTGAAAAGTTATGAACCTACAAGTTAATTTTAAACACTATGATGTGAAGCCATTAGTTGGTTTGGGTGAAAATATGTAAGTGTCCCAAATCAACTGCATTTATTCCATCGGAGTAGTACTTGTCTAATGATTTTCTTCAACTTCAGTTGAAGTTCACAGTCTGGCTAAAATAATCTTAACTGTTATCCACAAAAGACAACACTGACTAGAGACTCTTTAAATTGGGGGGAGAGAGGAGTCCCTGTGTAAATACTACACTTTCAACTCTGAAATACAGTAGTAATTGCTGATAATTCTCCACTCTATGGTACTAATGTGTAATCAAGTTAATCTTTCTGTTTGGGTCTGTGGCCATTTTTACTCTGGTGGATAAACTGAATGATGATAATAGTCTCTCTAATTAAATCTTTAGTCTCATGTGAGTTAAACTTTTTTTTTTCTAATTGTATCATGAAAATATTCCCTTTCTGCATTAACTTCTGTATATTTTGTATTTCTCCAGTTTGAGATAAGAATCACTACGAGAAAGGAACCATAATTATGAAGACTTCTAAGGTAGGCTAAGGGAAGTTCATTACGATAAAAGTAACTGCACGTAAACATTGTGTTGAGGGTTTGTTCTTGTGTTCTTTTACCTCTTTAACAGAGGAGTTTCGAATTATTTTTTTTTTCAGAAGCAGTGACTTTACCAGACTTCAATTAGTGTTCTATTGCTTAGTTTCACTTACTGGTATTTCTAAGCACCTAAAATTCTGTTGGTTGCAATGAAATCTCTCTAGCTTCTCAGTGACTGCAGGGGGTTGTGCCCAGGGTAAGGCTCACAGCTGCCGGCGCTGCAGGAGGGCAGAAGCCCTACAGAAATACTTTGCAGGATCAGCGATATGTGGAAGGCCTTTCAAATTCCATTTCAAGTGTACATTCCTGCAAAAATATTCAGGAGGCTAATTTAACAGATTTTTGTCCCCACAGGCTGCTGAGATTGTAGTTTACCTGGATATGTTTGGGCACAGGTTCCCAAATTGACACTTTTCTTATGCAGTAAGAATTAAAAACCAAAATCCTTGGAAATTACTGAGAGCTTTGCACTTCTTAGTTTATGTACTATTCTATAAATCAAAGTGAAAAATGGGTATCTGAAGTGTTCAAAGACCACATTTAGCATTATAAGGGAAAGAGTTGATGGAATATCATGAAATATGATCTGTGTATTTTATGCTTTAAGAGTTTTGGCTTTTATTTAGTACATCAAATCGCAAGAATCATAAATGGGCAAGACTGTTTGCCAGCAGATTTTCAGTCTGGCTCAAAGAAAACTGGCTAAAAGAAAAATGAAATTTTGACCTCGGGTCAAAGCAGGTTTAAAAAGCTTTTAAACAAACTACTTCCCTAGAATGCCTATTCAAATTATGGTTTGAAGCAGATAAAAGCTGTTATTAAAACCTGACCAATGGCAATTGCTGCTGAAAAACAATCTTCAAAAACTAAAATCTGATTATTCTATCTTAACTTTATTTTGTGGTAGATCCTCTTGTGGTAGACAGGGTCAACAGCTGGCTCTTAAATGCTTGGAATGTAATGTTTAAATAAAATAAAAACTAATACTTAACATTTTTATCTTTTTCACTTTTATTCACTATGGTTGATCCTGTGAAGTACTTAATAATCTTAATTCCTAGTAAAAAGGATGCTCAGCATGTTGTTGGATAATGATTTTTATGACGTTAGACCCAACTAGAAATGATTTTGAGTCAGATTCTGCACCACTCTTAAACAAGAAAAACAATTTTAGGAAGGCAAATCTGAGAACAAGATATATGCAGTAAGCAGAGAGCAAAACTGCTCCAAGGACACATTATTATACTTAGCAGTCCCCTCAGTGCAGCTGGATCTCTGGTGGCAGGTTGTTGGTTTGTTTTTTTTTTTTATTCCTCTGATGTAGTTAAGCCTTTGCTATAGTATCTGAGTATATGAGTGTAAAAGAGAAGGTTCCCAACTGCTGTTCTTGAAGCTTTTTTCTTTACAAGCAGTTAGTATAATTTACTGGCCATACTGACAAATTACTTGCTTCTGTGCTCTACTATATCCCCAGATGGTTTAATGACCTTGTGCATTCTGAGTGAGAATTTGGTTTGTTGTTCATCTTCAAATGTATTTTAAAAAGTATATTCCTAGGATATATTCTAAGTCACCATATAAACCACTGAACAGATATCTTTGTCCTCATTACACATTGAAAACCAGGTCCTTCTTAACTGGTAAGTTGTGGTAAACTCTTCAAAGGAGTCTCTGCTAATACATGCTAAAGATTGATTAATTAAAATCAGAAACTTTTTCCATGCTGTACAAATGAACTTTGCATATCTCACCCCAGGCTACCTTTAATACATTATTACTAATAGTGAATGCTCAAACAAATATCCACTTACTCAAGTGGATTTTAGACTACTTTATAAAGACAGATATAAAGAAAATGAGGAGGAGGTGATGATATATAATATACTCAAGTATGTAAATGTGTGAATTACAAGACAGGTTCCCTCAACCCCAAAGTGTTGTTCATCCAAATGTTTTGTACTGTAAGCTCCTTGGAAAAGGAAATGCGTCTGCTTTGTTTCATCTTGTGCTGAATAGTACATAAATAATTACTACAGTTTCTAACAGATGTGACATTGGGTTTGACAAACTGCATAGTGAATCAGCAGTAGAATCAAGGACAGAATCTAAGTCTGTCCCCTAGGTGAACTTGCTGAGCTGCTGCTCCACTTTTACCACTGCCTATTTTAACCAACGCCTTAAAATGCTGAATTACTTAACATTAGGTTTACATATATAGTTTTTTAATGGCAAGATCTCTATATAGAGGTATTTGGACATGGGTGAAAGTAGTGTCTGTTCTAACAATTTTCTACGCAAATAGTTGGTCTTGACTTTGAGTTTTAAACCATGTTTCAGCTGCTGAACCAGCTATGAGGCTGCACTAAGTCTGGACACACAAATGATACACGTAGCTACTCACTACTATCTGTATTAAATATATTTTGAACTTTCCCAATGAACTGGTGACACCTTTTCACGGTGCTGTGTTACCAGGTGGATACATAACATTAGGTAACTGAGATTACACAAAGGAAACAACATGGCTGTTACCCTTTGGAACAAATAATAAATTTTGGGAATACAAGAGTCCAATAAGCAAACCCTGTAGCGAGCTGGGAGGTTTCTCTGGGCTTTTGCTGCACGTACTTTCCTTAACCTCTAGAGAAGCAATACAACACTGCGTTTGCATATTATTTAAGTTTGAGCAGTATTTCTGGTGTGCATGCTTACCTGCTCGAACCCCTTCATAGAAGTCATGGCCTTTCTGAAAGACAAAAAAAACCAAGCTGTAACATGATGCATTCTATTTATCCCATCTTTCCCTATCCCACTTCTGCTTGAAATGTGAATTCTCAAGATTCTGTTAAATCCCACTTGTACTGTTCTCATCTAGTCCTACTTTCTCTTTACTTATTAAAGAGCTCTCTATCCTCTTGCTTGAATGCAGCCACAACTCTAAAAATCAGTCTGTTGAACTGTAGGTGATCAGCCAACTTTTATGCAGTGTAAACCCTCTCTCTGGGTTAATCTCAGGTTTTTCTGAAGAGTTTTGTATGACAGGGGATAAGGTGTGTAGGATCAGAAATTCTTCAGAGAAAGGCCACTCTTCAGGAACTGTGATGTATTCTGTATACTTGAGATACTTTGCAGTTAAATGGAATCCTGGAAACATCCTTTTTTAGTTGTTGTTGTTTTAAATGTTATGTTTACCTTTATTAGAAAAAAATCCCTAAGGATACCTCACTAGCAATGGAGCAACAACACTAGTTCCAGGAAAGATATGGCAAAGATACTGTCAGGTGCTACAACATATCAGAATTAAATACATTTTCACTCTTTTTTAATTATCACAAATCATTTCATCAGATACATAAAAATCTTTTTTTAAAATGTGAAAAAACTAATAAGGGTGCCATGGGGAAGCTTTGAGGAATTTGTTTAGATAATTCAGTTAGCAACTCTGTTCTACTGAAAGGATCACTTCCTCATGTTCTCCAAGTACTCAGCCCTTACTACAAATAGTACTAAAATCTCTTGTTTTCTTTAAGTTTATTACAGCACTCCTGAAAGACAGTGATATATTATTCCCATCCTGCTGATGGGAACTGAGGCACTGAGAGCTAAGTAATTAAAACAGAAAATCTGTTCAAGAACACCAGAGTTTTAAAATGATGGTCCAAATACAGAACTTTCTATATTGTAACTTTATCATGTTTTTTCTTGACAAAAGTCCTCAATCATTCCCATTTGACCATCATCAATGCATTCTTCTTTAGAGTTCCATATAAATACGTGTAGCTGGAAAAAAAAAGTGACAGCCTAATACAAGGTACGGGGGGGGTGGGGGAAAAACCCAAACCTATAAATTTTGAGCCCTTGATGTAATCTATAAAACTGAAGTGGCTGACAGACGTGCTACCCCTCCATGGCTGGAAAGACACACAAGGCTGCTTGCTCACCATGCATGCTTGGCTCAGTCTGTATTCCATTGTGAGTACATCTTGTAAGCTCATGGAAGCTCCTTCTCTGAGCTGTCTGAGAGTCATCTTTAAGGATGTAGGTGACATCTTATTAATAGTCTGAGGAAGACAGTAACAATTGTTTTTATTCTCTTCAATTTAGACACATTTGTAAGTCTGTCTTTTTTGCATTTTAAACTTTAAGTTAATGATGGCACTCTTCTCCCTTAGCTCCCTTCTGTGATACCTGTTCCTTCTGCTCCCTCCCACCACACTGTCATACTAAATGAACTTCCTTGCATAAGCTTCCTTGCACAAAAGCAAGATCTCTGGGAAGTGTGCCATGGCTCGTGGAAAGCCTAGGTCACATCACTTATTATCAAATTACCACAAGCCAGAGAATCTAACACAGCTTGAAAGCCATTTCTGAACAGATTCTTTTGAGAAGTGAAAGTGAGTCTTACAAGCAATTATATCTTTTTAAATATAAATATATGGTCTGAATTGCTCTTAGATGTTACTGATATTGTAGCTACTGATATTAATATTGTACAGCATTTACATTTTATTTGGTACATCAGAGTAGTAAGGTAATAATAGTGAGATAAGCCACCAAATTTAAGTAGTTGCTTTGTGATCATCTGCAAATACTAGACAATATACTAAGAAGAAAATTGTGGAAGGAAAAAAATATTAAAAGAAATCAAACATAAAGGTGTATTTGTCCAGGCTGGGATCAACAGATACTGCAGTAATTTAGCCCTACATTGCTCTGCTGATGGGAAGCCTGGAGAGGTCTTGCCTTCTTTTGACAGAGCTACAGGCTACAAATATTATGCAACAAACAGGATCTGTTTAAGGCACACAGACAAATGCTGTAAATCTGGCTCTCATGATTATCCTTCAATTAACAGCATGCCAGTAAACACAAGGGGGAGGTGGGGAGAAAGACAAAAACCTAGATAAGAAAACAGAACTGAGCTTTAAAGCTTTCAGGGTTGTGGGGGAAAGGAGTTAAACCTTATTGTTGTTGATCTTTGTTTTCTTCCTGTAAACAGGACTCTTCTTTCCCTGTAAACCCAACTAAAAGCTCTGTATTATTCACAGTACAATAGATATTTCCTGTTAATTAGGACACTTTTACCACTACTGAAAAGCAGCAGATGGTAAGATTTGCCTCTTTACATTATTTTCATTGCAGACATTAGACTCCTTACTCACAGACTGAAATGGCAGGTTTCCAGTCATAAACATTAACATTTTTTCTGGCTCCCAATTACTCTTCATCCCTCTCCAGACACCAGCTGATACAGCACTGACCCATTTTGCCTAGTTAAGCTGGAAAACATGCAATTGCTATAGAAGCAGGAGGCTGGGCAATTGTACCTTAAAAGCACTGGTTCTGTCATTCTATTATTCGCATGTTGACCGCTCGCTTGAGAGAGAAGCTGGTTTGGAAAGAGCTAAAGCTGGCTCAAACTGTCAGCAGTTCCTGAGTTCCTCTCTAACACCACACTACCTTTCAGCAGATGAAGGAACCAGCTACACCTCTAATTACATCACTATGTAGGGCTGGGATAGATAGCAGTTCTTAACTGGACCCCTTATTTCCCATAATGTGCTCTTGCTGGCTTTACCTTCGTACTGGACCTTTTCTCCTTTGAGTTTCACATTCTGTCATCTAGATTTGAAAGTCTTTGCTCAGACCAGGTTAAAGCGGATGATTCCCTAGGTGAAAGGGTAATAGCAAGTTTTTTCTGGTGAAAGAAAGCACTGAAATGGGGAAGAACTGAGAACAGCACTTAACTAGTCTAGTGCATCCAGCAGCTGCCTTAGCATGGCATATCAATGAGGCTGAAGGTGGAGGAGGGACTGCCATAAATGAAGCTGAAGGAAGAGGAACAAGGAAAGAAAATGGGTAGGTGTAATTGCAGAAAAATGAGTCATCAGGGTATCTATAAATAAATTCTCTGTACAAAGTGGAGGAGGGGATTGGTGCTAGGGAACAAGCCTGAAAAAGAGACAGGATAGGCTGAAGTGGGGAGTACTAAAATGCAAAGAAGTCTGCATAGAAGTATTTGACATCTATTCCGGTATCCTTGAGACTATCTTGATTTCAGCATGATGATCCTGAAAGCTACAAGCTGAATTTGCAATAGACCTAAATTCCAGTAAGATACTGTCAGAAAGTGACTGAGTTCAGTGCCACTGACTCAGTGGAGTCCCTTACAAGAGGAACAGCTGGAGTAGTGGCTGCCTCTTGTCTCCAAGGCCCATAAAGTTTCTGACCTGACCTGCTTAGGGTCCTTGTGGCAGGCTTTCTTTAAGTTGAAACAAACAAATGAAAAAAAAAAAAACCAACAACTCTCCCAAAGGTCTGAATTCCCTTGCAATAGATGAAGACACCCATCACTTACTTTCTGAGATATCAAAGCATTTGTTCGTCTGCAGCAAACAATGGTTCTGGATGAGCTTTGACAAAATTTGAGCATCTAGCCAAAGCATCACAGAAAAGCTGCTTAAGGACAGATATATCACTCTCTTACTGGTCTGTTAACAGGGAGTTTCTGCATCCCAGCCTGACCAGTAGGTCTGGACAAGGTCTCTTCTAATTCTTAGCCTCTGCAGCATCCTTCACAATACACTGGAATTCATTCAGTAACAATGAAGGCTAGTAAATCATGGAGTATTAGTGCTCAGAAGGTGTACCGTCCTGCCAAAAAAAGCTGTAAGAAAGCATTGTGTGAAAGCCAAGTCAAACATCGCATGCTTTTCAGGTTTTGACCCCACATGCTTACTTCATCCAATTAGAAGTGGTATATTTCTGTCACTCAGATTAAAGATTTTTGGCTCATGAGTTCAAAAAGTGTGTTAGTACTCTAGCTTTCTATTTGTAACTGGATTCAAAATGTGATTTAAATCATAAAGCCATTTTCAAGCTGAATTTTAACAATTTTACATTCCTCTTATTCATGCAAACCACTTTAGTATCTGATATGTAAAAGCCTGCTAAGCAGGCATGTTTTGAAAGTAAAAAGCAGAAGTACTGCAGATTGAACAGAACAGGATACCTAGGACAGCATGACTTGCAGCATACTTGGATTATAGCAGAACTAGTAGTTCCATTCTATTAACACTAAAAGGTATTTGTACATCCAAGGGGTGCCTCCAAATTAGGGTATTTGTATCAGACTTTCAGTTAGGGCTGATTCCATAAACTTACTAATATGTATAATAAATATACAGGGAAACAAAGAAAATAAGCATACACACTGCTCTTACTGAATCCTTCTAGTTTCTATATTTATCATTTGAATGTGCTGTTGTTCCTGTACCTGGACACTAAAGGGAAACCTTGATTTCACAGTGACAGGAAACACATAGGGACATACTCTTGGTACTGTGACACTACTGGTGAGGAGAATGACTCGCTTCACACAAGTCAGCAAACTGCTATCAAGGATAATGTCTGATAATCTCAGACTGTCATAATTTTGCTATATGTTCCCTGCTCTAACTAACCTGCTCTAACACAGGGCTCTTTGAACTCCGCTCCTCTGAGCAATGCGACAGCAGGCCAGTGCTTTGTCTGTAGGTGTTGTGAATTGCTCAGCTGCCAGGGTGCAAGCTACCATTCTTCCTCTAGCTATAATTAAGTTTAATTACATTTTTGCTTTCCTAGTAAAACAAAACCTCCAGTTCAACTGGCATTTCCTGGAAAAAGCGAGATTTATACCTGAATCCCTTTTTAAACCCCCTTTCTCCCCAATGCGTTTTCCTTCTTCGGCTTTATGGATCTTTCACAGAAAAAATCAAGTATCTGATCCTACAAAGTTACTTAATCCTACTGCTTAGCACAGAAGGCGTGCTGTTAGAAACTTGTCTGAACCTTTTGTACTTGTTCACACTGATAAGACTCGAACCTGCTAGAAAATTTTGGTGGTGTGTTTTTCCCACAAATTTCTGTGTGGACAGAAGCAACTCATATTAACATGGTCTCATCTCTTGAACAGAAAACAGATCATTGTTCAGGAACTTCTGTCAGCTCCATGAACAGTCACTTACTAATCATATGAAAGATAAAAGCTGCTATAAAGTCCTATTAAAGACATGAAATAAGAAAACTGAAGACGCAACAAAAGATCCTTTTTTTTTGTACAGGACTTGAAAAAAACAAAACAGCTACACAAATTCATAATTTGAAGTAGATGGCATAGTTTTAAGTTCTAAATTACAAATAAGAAACAAATGTACCCCACTAAACAACAAGGAGCAAGAACTTTTTTTTAATTTTAAATAGGGGAGATCTGAGTTATGAGGCTGCAGATGCAGAGAGCAAGTCAAGCCTGGTTTGGGTAACTAGAGCAAATGTGGCAGAACAAACTACCTAGTTAACATATTTCAGTAACAAAGTGTTTCCATATTCCTTGCCTCTTTTGTAGTAGAAACTCTATTTTGAAAAATGCACCCTTTAAAGGCTGATATCCTATTTTTAAAAGTTCTGCTAGGTCTGATTATGTTTTAAAGTGCCATAAAATTGTATGAAATTAACTTAGGAAAAACTAAATGTAAATAACACTTGGTTGTTTTCACCTGCCACTGAAACTAATCAATATAATATGCCTGCAGAATTATATTAAACTGTATAAAGTCTACAAATAAAATACTGCCTTGTAACTATAAAGAAATACAATCCACCCAAAGTGACTGTTGTTAACATGCTATTAAAGTGTTTCAACAGACCTTAATATAACTACTTTCCCTGCCATCTATAACATGTAGCCAGGTGTATTGGTTGGTAGAAAGACAATCTAAAAATTCTTTTCTCAAAAATGATTTGAGAGTTCCAGTGACAAAATGTTAAATCTTCAATTAAAAACTAAAACCAAAAATGCGTCTGTGTATCTGAAACAGGATGTCTAATGTTAATAATATTATGTTCTAAAATAATATTCCTTCTGCTCAAATGAAAGTCTGAAGATGATGGATGTTTTGTTTTATTACAAAAGCAGGATTTCTTCTGTGATCTGTAACCAAAGTTAAAACAAAGCTTTTGTTGGAGAAGTGCTTCTGTTCTATCCAAATTTAAGTAATATTTGAATAGCTCGAAGACAAACTTTTACAAGGCACCTGAATACAGATACTTAAAAGGAAAAAGAGAAAATACACACATTACTTATAAATGAGTAAGTTGCTTCCTGCTTTTGAGGCCGGAGTGTGTATTAAGTGTGTAATATTGCTGTACATTTTTTCTGAGTAGTGACTACATCTAACACTCAGAAATGCATTAAAAAGATCAAAAAATACTTTGTGATGACAAATTGCTTGCTGTCTACCCAAATGAGATATCTGGAATGGAAGAAAATGAACAAGATTGTTCTGGCCCTCTTTTATTCCAACCCTTGGTAATAAATGAGAACCTATAAAAGGAATCTGTCACCAACAACCCCCTGATCGCAAGGAGGGGAAAAGGGAAAGGGAATTTATGGTTGTTTTTTTTACTAGACTGCAATTTTATGCAACATATGATGGTATTCACATTGTATGGTTTTGCAGAGGAATATTCTTGTCTGAGTAGAACTACTGACAATCCCACAGGACTATATGTGAGAACTTTAGGATCCCAATGTCCTACTGGTTTATGTAGTATTAGTTATGTTAATAAGGTGACTAAAGTCTGACCCATGAGAAGGAAATACAGAATCAGGCTAAAATCTAACAAAAATAACACGGAAGACATTACCTCTAGCTGCTTAGTGGCAAAAGGAGAACCATCTTGCTTTAAATTTTTAACAATTTCTTCCATACTAGTTGCTGAAAAAAGACTAAAAGAAAATAATTAGTTACTAAATTAACTGCTTCAGACTTCTTCCCTATGAAGTGCTGGTAACACAGAAATAAGAAACAGCATGACCAGCTGATCTGGCTTTTCTGATCAATGTATTCCCTGTTGTTCAGTGTTAAGTAATTCAGTTAACAGGCATCTTCTCTTCCTTTGCAAATCTCTAGCAGTTCAATAAACCTCACTTACAAACTCTGACATTTATCCAGGAACTTTAATTACTACCAACAGTCTTATCTGTGTTTTTATAACACATCAAATCTTTAACTCCATTCTGTTGGTTTGGCGTCAACATCTTTCATCTCTAAACTTAGTTACTGCCATCCTTTAAGAGTTTTAGCTGCTGCTTATAGAATCATAGAATGGTTTAAGTTGAAAAGGACCTTAAGGTTCATCCAGTTGCAACCCCTCTGCTGTGTGCAGGTTGCTCAAAGCCCCATCCAGCCTGGCCTTGAGCACTTCCAGGGATGTGGCATCCGCAGCTTCTCTGGGCAACCTGTTCCAGTGTCTCACCATCCTCATAGATATCTTCCTGATATCTAATCTAAATCTCCCCTCTTTCAGTTTGAAGCCATTACCCCTTGCCCACGTTATGGTTGGCCTTCTGAGCTGCCAGCACACCTTTGCTGGCTCATGTTGATCTTTGTGGCCCTCCTCTGGAACCACTCCAACAGGTCCATGATCTCACTTATCACTCTTATTTATTTTTCCTTCCCTTTCCGATACACAGAAGTTCCAAAGAATCCTAGAAATGGCCTTATACCAAGGAGTATTAATGTGCTACGTGACATTTCCTGTCCAACTGAATAATGAAATGAACCAGGCAAATATGCTCAGTATGTCAGTATTTAATATACTGACAAGTGAAATATTTAACGGGCTTCAGATATAACTCCCTAAAGACAAAAAAGTTTAAATGGCTAATTTGAATGTCATTTCTATCACCTTATCTGTGCAACACTGATAGGTTACTAGATCTAACTTCATGTTCTCTACCCAAAAGAGTAAAAAAGAAGAAAGAGTGCTGAATACCTGTTAATCTTCTCCATGTGTTCATCAAGTACAAACTTTTCTTGATCAATTTTGCTCTATTTAAAAAAACATACATATTTTACTTGGTTATTTTAGACTGGAAAGCTTATCAGTACTGAAAAATCTCAATGATTTGTGTTACAGAAATATCATATCATAAATGAACATTAATATTCATAAGACACTGACATTTTTAATGAATTATAATTTTGCAGTGTGTATAAATGAACTTGTCACTTTATCTTGTGAATGCTAAAGATGTCACCTCATAATGCAGTGCTTGCTCTGTGCTACTAAGTATGCATATTTGACTGCGTGGTTATCTTGTACACAAGTAATCATGATCAATCTGTCAACATACTTCTATCAAATACACTAAGAAAGCCAGTGTAGATACATCTACTCAAAAACCTGAGAATGTTTAAAAAAAAAAAAGTTTGGTTTTCTTAAAAATATACAGACAAATATATGTGTAGTATTTTTAAAAAAACGACAAAGCAAATCTGCGTTTCTCTTCCTTATCTTTTCTCTGTCATTTTACAAAATTTTATTTAGAAAACTAGAGTGTGAAAAATATGTTGGCCTTATGTGGAAATGCTGTCAAATGTTTCAGATCTTCCAGCATTAAGGGGTTTAGGACATAAGCAGATGTTTCAGTAAGAGCAGCTGAACCTGAGAGAGGTTCCCTGTCATTTCAGCTCTGATAGCTAAAAATACACAGCTTCCTTTTCCATTCAATGCCTTAAAGCAGTTGACTGCAACATATAATCACTGCTGCTTAATAGCTTTCTATTTTGTCAAAATAATCAGTATTACTACATAAATTGGCTTATCCCATTTATTTTTCTAATTAATCTTTATATATGAACTTAGTAATTCCAAACCAGAAATAACAAGAGTAGACACCGCTAACTTAAAAGCCAAACAACTGAGAAGTAGTACTCAGATTGACTGAATACATTGAATCTTGATTTGACTCCAGAGCTTTCCTTTCTTTTGAAATAAGACCACAATGCACATCAAAAAAGCGAAGACAGCCACTGAATAAACTGACTATAAAGCCAAAACCTTTTCCTTTCATGGCCATTATTACATGGGGCTAATACAAATATTAATTATGTATTTTCAATATGTTATACAATATCACCTCAAATCATAACAGAGAATTATGGGTTTGTCCATTGGGAAAACAGCACCTTTCTCCCCTTGAAAATGTTGCTTTAAGATCTCAGATGCTTGCCCTTCAACCTATCTGCACTCTGCTAATACTTACCCTATTGATAACTGCTGTGTTTACTCAGTCTTTCATTACCTGAAGGTTACAAACACATAAAATATTTGAGAAATTAAAGGAACAACTTGAGCCTTTAAATTCAGGCTTCAAATCTGCAGGACTGCAGATGATCGGTGTCAAAATAATGCTAAAATTTACATCAAATGCATCAAGCTTGCAAAACATTTCTTCAGGTCAAGAAAGTTTCTGGGATGGAAATAGAACATCCACTTCCAAGTGAGCAGCACAGCATTTAGTAACTGGCCCTGTGACTTCTGCAGCCTCTGGACTAGGCCAGTAGTTCTTCTACCTCTGTCGTTTGTGCTTGTCAGAATCCATGAATTTCAGGCTAACTCCCCTTGCAAGTCCAAAATGAATAAAAAGTGAAGACAGACATTTTAATTTTGTCCGCTGTGGGCCTTAGTGCTGCAAATTAGTATTTTATAGAGTGCGAGGAGTCTGGAAACCCATTATTTTTTAACCATAAAACAAATCATTAGTAGCATGAATAAAAAAGAATTTGTTTTGACATACATTTAACAATTCTGCTTGATTTCAGTAAATCATCAGATTACCTTCGCGTGGTAAGAGTTCAATAAGTCTGAAATGTTTTCTGTTGAAGGAGATTTCAGTGCTATCAGGTCTTTCTCTAAGGCAGGTAGCTATTAAAAATAAGATTTAATTCAAAGTAAGTCAAACAAAATGTACTACTTGAATTGTTACTGCTATGGTAATAGTATTATATAATATATACGTATATAAAATTGCAGGTAGATCTTAAAGAGGTACCAAGTAAGCAAAACAAGGAGTGAGAGATCACCTTTCACCGTTGAACCATCTGGATTTAATTATGTCTGCAGTGATCAGCAAAGAACTCAGCTTCCCAAGCAGCCCCCCAGCACAGTGCTACAGCTGCAGCAGGTAAAGGCAGCCTACAGCAGTCTGAGAGGAAAGACCAGGAGCCTGGCAACCATGCTACGCTCAAAATAGTATCTAACTAGTTCTACAATGACAGTCATGGGTCGCAGAGAAGGAAAGGAACTCATTGTTTCTCCTTCACTTATGTCCACGCAACTTACTGGAACGTTATGACTCTGAATTTATCAAATATATGAATTTTTACACTTCCTTACAACCACTGTAAGAAACAAATAGGATATCTCTTAGGGAGACCTGGTAAAGAACACATTAATGGGGTGTTACCTAGATTAAAAACTTTGCAGGTGTATAATGTCAAATTTCAGGCACTGTTGTCTAAATTGTACGATCTTTCAAGCAACTTCAATTATGCTCTGCAAATCATGCCCTTCAGTAGAATCATGAGGACAGCAACATTTTCTCCCTATTCCAAGCAAAGCTGCTACCATCTGGCAAGTGTTAAAATGACAGCTTGAGAGTACCTTTTGATCCCTGTTAACAGTGCCAGCATGGCCAGCTAATATAATTGCGCCTCTGCATGCACTCAAGTTGGTAAAATTGTGTTGGTGTGCTGCACAACTCAAACTTCTCATTCCAGTTGTAGGCTGCACCCGTGCTAGCACTAAATAGCAGCTTACCTTTTCAGATTCTACAAAATGTGTAGCGATGCCAGCTTTTAGTACATCTCCTCCTTTCAGCCTAAATCCTGTTAGTGCAAGGTAATAGCCAATCTTTCCTGATAGTCTTGGCAAGAAATATCCTCCACCTACATCAGGAAAAAGGCCTGTAATAAACAAAACAAAACAAAAGCTTGAAGGGAAAAGAATTTGTCATAATCATGCATGTAACTTAGTAACTTCTTCTTGTCTCACTTTCTTCTCCCTGACTTAGACACACCTCTTTTGCCCATTTCTCCTCGACTTGGTTTGACATTTCTCTGTCGTCAAAACCCTTCCTAAAAGCAAACTCTTGAACACCTTCCAAACTGTATCCTTTCCACTGGCACATAATTTACAAGCATATACCAGACAACAGTGTTGGCTCTATTTGCCAACAACTTGAGACATTTTTAGATGCTTCAGCAAAAAGCACACTCTCAGCAAAAACCAGAAGTGACACCAAGAACTGTGGAACAGTTTGTGCAAACTCAAACTGAATGCTGCTCTTTCTCTGAGGCCCTTTATTACTTTTATTACTTTTGATAAAAATGCCAAAGAACGAAGAAGTGCCTCTTACACACCTAAGTTTGAACAAATTTTGGGGCTGAGAGTTCATTAATAGATCAACAGTATTGCCAGGGTCTTCCTCAAGGTGGAGGCACAAGATGCTGACCTAATACCTGGCTCTTTGACAGGACTATGACTAACCTGCAGTTTGAAAAAAATTATAAAACTTTTTAGTTTAGTGACTGTCTTACAGTTGTATTTTTTAAAATCTACAGAGTAATTTTTAAAAATTCAAACCTGTGAATAAAATTTAAGACTTTGAAAAGTTGTAATTGAAAAATATATAACTACTTTTATAAAAGTTTAAATATTTAAAATCATCACTTTCTCAGTATCTACTTTATTCTGTTATATACATTTATCACCTACAAAATAAATTCAAACAATTTTTTGTAATTTTTAACACACTTAAACTTCAGAAAACTTAAGCATGGCTGCATCAATCTCAGGAATCAAAATGGAAAGCAGCAGCGTCCAGTTACTACATCAAAATAATCACCAATGGTGCATTCATGAAACTGAAAGTCTTTTGGAGAAATTAAAGGTGTGGTGGTGGTTTTTTCACTTTAAGAGAATAAATGAAACATGAAAATTAATGAAAAAGAATACAAATGAGCAACAAGAAACTCAGAAAACACTTGCAAAAGCACAGATATTAACTGGGAAAATAAAGATATACATAAGGAGTTTAAATGGGGTTCTGATAGAAGGTGGTAATTTTTCACTCGGAAGTAATTGCTTTCAATCCCAAAAGAGCCAATGTATGTTTTATAGAAAGACCCCATTACAATGATTTTATGATGTGGGAAATTAGTGGTCCCTGAATATTTCTCCCCCTTGGATGGAATTGAAGGGAGGTTTCTTCCAGACAGCTTCTCTTCAGTGTTTTCCTTCTCTCAATAATCTTTAGAGTTCATCACTGCCTTATGTTCTCATTCATCTCTCAGCTTCTCCTCTAGTTCCTCCTTGGTCCTCGCTTATTTCTGCTGCATCACTACAGCTGTGCTATTCTATTCCCATTCCCACTGAGGCGTGTATTGCCATTAGCTCATTTATTTCTCATCCCATCAGCTACTGAGAAATATGGCTCTTCTTCGAAAATGTCAAATGTCTCCTTGGCACCCTTTAAAAGCCCTGAGCTGTATTAACCCAAATTCATCACTTACCTTCTTTTTCATCTGTACTCACATTCTGAATAGTCTACTCTGCATTTTACCTTCTCAATTTGAGCCATCATATCTATCAAGTTGATGCCAAGACTGTCATTTAGTTTTATGTTTCCATTCATCTGTCTCCTCTTGAATACCCTACTACTGCAAAAAAATCCCTCATTTCAAAATGAAACTTCTCTTACAAATGCCCTCCAAAGCAAGAATTCAATCACATTATTCTCCCCATCCACCAGAACTGCAACAGTAACAACCTTTTTCTCTTTACTGTAATGAAAATACCAATGTTGAAGTACTATTCTTCCCATGCTCCACTAAGTTTCCAGAGGGAAAGCCATCTTCCTATTGGGATCTATAGGGCCCTTCCACATGGCCATACAAAGGGAAATCAGTTCTGAAATTGATTAGCTTAAGTTGCTTTAGAGGCAAATAAAACTAAACCGAATTAGGGTTTCTTTAATTATTAAGGAATTACAAACAAGATTAGCGAAGGTGTAACTAATCCACTTCAGACTTACTTGGTTGCATAAACACAGTCCACTTCAGCTTCTACTGTATCCTTTTCTAGGTTCCTGTCTTCCTTTCTTCTTCAATTTTACTCCTCTTGTCCCTGTTCTACATATTCCTCTTAATTCTCTCGGTGATGCTTCCCATATGTTTCTGCTTGCTACTGGGTTTCTCTTAATGTATTGCATACGCTTAATTTTTTTTTTCCCCTTTTGATAGCATTTAAGAATTATTTCTCAAATCCCTACTTAGGTAAGAGAAGAACTGAATGTCTGCTGGACAGACCAGACTAAAAACCCATGCCTGTAATGCTGACTTTCAGTTTGTGCTCTGAGACAGAAGCAACACGCTTCACTGTAATCCCAATTGTGAAACCCTGCAGTTGCCAAGCACAAGATAAAGGTAGCACCACTACATTCCTGCCTTACCTTGCAGAGGTGCTTGGAGATTTATTAGTAAAGGACTTACAGAAAGCTAAAAACTTAGAGGGATATACAAGAAAGGGTTCACTATTAGTATAATATCACCTGAAAGCCTACCTCTTAAAATATACTTTCACCTTTTGTTCTTCTCATGAGTGGTTTTTCCACACCCTCCTCCATCTAAGCTGCTTCCCAGTGCTTTATCTTATCTACGTCAGTTTCAAACCCCTGCAATCTAGATCTGCCTTTTATTCCTATTTGCAAAGTGGTATATCTATCTATATCCTTTTATTTATAGCGGTGTATAAATGCAGAGTAATTGTGTGAAAATGTAGCAGCTGAATGAAGGCTTTGTTTTTATTTCACAGAAAAGGTGTAATGCCTACTGAAATAAGTGAACATATGAAAAAATCAATTAATACATTATCTAGGCAGCTAGACATTTTAAACATACACCACAGAGATCAAAACAGCTAAGCCCTTAAACCCAAACAGATTTCAGTGGTTTTACTTCTAATTGATCCTAAAAGGGTTTTAATTACTTTCTTTCCTAAGCAGGTTCTAAGCTTTTCCTTTACATGTTTTCACAGTCTATTTTTGTTTAAATAAGTCCTTGTCAACACAAGAAATGTATGTAAAGTACAACTTTTTTTTTTAATATGACTACTCATATCTTTACCTTTGAAGCAGAAAGCAAAGAAGGAATCATTATTACATAATTTTATATGTCAAAGAACGTCCCTGTTTAGTTTTTTTAAAAATAAATATTTCCTTCAAATAGCTTTCTTTTTCAAACAACTGATTATGAACTTTAGGCATGAAGCAAATTCATGCTGTATTAATGCTTGAGCTATTTAGTTTACTCAGTTTTCCTTCAGCAAAGAAAAATATTTGGAGGGCTGCAATAGTTCTTGTTTTTTTCCTTCCAAACTTATTTGTTCAGAAAAATTACATGACATTTATCAGCTAGCAGGAATTGCTCTTGTATTTTTTCAGGAGTTAAAATGGTAGTCAGCTTGTTTATAGTTGGGTGATTTATTATGCTTTATTTGACTTGACACTCACAGCTTATTTAATATTTTAAGGATTTCAGAGTAAGTTTTGTGAAATGTTTCATACAGGCTGGACAGCAGTAAAGAACAGATAGTATGTGTAAGAAAAGATACGAAAAATGCTACCTTTTAAGCATTACTAACTGGGGCACCACTGGTTAAAAATCCAGTCATTAGCTAAGTGTACATTTTAACTTTAGTTGTAATAATATTATTGTACTTTAAATATACTCAACAAAAGCACAATATTGTAACTTTTATTATCTTTTCAGAACTTAGTCCTGATATTTTTTTAACATTATTTCTTAGTTTTAACATTATGTAACTGTTTGAAAATTCTTTTAAGAAAATGATGGTGCCTACTCCTTACAACTAATTCTTTGAAGTGAAACTAAGATTGAACATAATAGCACCGCATTTGGTGCCATTTAAGCTGTTTAACCACCAGATAAGGTTCTTTATTCTGAATAAATGTGTTCAAAAGGGGCACGTATTACAGATTAGCCTCATCCTCCTGCTTGAGGATATAAAGGTAAGAACAGTTGCAATCATCATTCAGCTGCATTTCCTTGGAAAGATGTAGAAACTGGAAATTTTGCAGGAGAGAAACACAGGATAGGTTGTAAGTTTTAAGCACTCTCCTTAAACACTCTTGATAAGCAGGGAGAAGGGACCTGGACATTGATGGAGTATATATTCCAGACAATAATGTGGATACCCTGTTGGGGCCAGGATTTTCTTGAAGGGAAACGTGAATGATTTCACAGGAGGGTTCACTTGAATCTGACTGACCCTTCTTGAGCCATATCACCATCTTCATATAGCTCTGAGACACAACATTTTCTTTTGTACACCTCAGAGCTGGCAAAGAAGCTGTAGGATCAAACATTAGAAAACACAAGGAACATGTTGCTATGTAAATAAAAAAAAACCCAAAAAAAAAAGACGATACTTTGATCTGACCTGCACACAATCTGTACACAACTGTAACGGGTCTGCATTAATAATCTACAAGAAAAGCTGGAATTTCAAAATCTGTCTCATTAACATTGCAGATCAGCTTGTAGTGCAGCCAGTTTGACTGAGTTCCAAATGTAAAGCTGACATACTTCCACTGGGCTCTTCAGACTTTATCTATCTACATCTGTAGCAAAGACCTAGTTCCTCAGATCCCCTTCAATTTTTAAAAAAACTGTGCCGTGTCAGTCTAGACACTAAACCCCAAGTTAAAAACCTCAATGATCAAATTCCCAGAATACAGGTAAGTTGCTATTAATTTAATAGATATTTTCCATATATGGCCATCTCCAATTCCTTTTTAAAATTATTTCATTACCTCTACTGCTTACAGTCAAAGACATTTCATCCTAATTACAAGCACAAACAGCGAAACTTTAAACAATAATTATCTGTTAAAATGCTTACCTATTGCTGTTTCTGGCATTGCAAAAAGTGTCTTCTCTGTAGCAACTCGGAAATGTCCATGGACTGAGAGGCCAACTCCCTATGCATGTAGCAAACACAAATGACAGAGTTATAAAATTACTGGTAAAATAATCATAGCCATAATGCTAAGTAACATGCCTGTTGCTTTGCTCTCCAAGTAAATAATATTAGATTTACTATGCACATCTCAACAAAATCTTAAAAGGCAGTTCATACACCAATAAAGCATCTTATTACCTTCAAGATTTGGCTGAGATAGCATACTATGCTTCAAAAGATTGATGAGTCATACGCAGATTAACTTCAAAAACCCATGAGTGACAGCAACAGAAACAAGTGACCACATTTTCTCCATTAGACTACTCAGGGAGTTGACATCCTTTTGCTAATGTTATCCCATCTATAATTTTTGCACATACTTCAAACCACCAACAAAAAAAATGCCAATACTTTTGGAATATACACGAATTGCACAGTTATAATTATAATATTTTTAAAAGAAATAATAATTAGCTATTCTTATAATGTGATAATTACCTACTTTATCAATACAGAAGCACTTTAAGCAGGAAAAACCTTTGGCATTATTAATAAAAATTCAAAATATGTGATTAGAAACTCACTTATTTAACCTGGGGACTTTTGTTCTCCAAGTCAGAAATAGAATTCACATTTCTAAGTATGTAGCCCTGTTCTCTAGCAATTCTTCCTGATGAGACACTTTCCTCAAGACAGAAGAGCTCCTGGTGTTGTCTATCAAGTATTTTCTGATTTCAGCAGTGAGCAGCAGCAAGGCCCAATAAAAATATACATTTTCAGTTCACACAAAACTAATTTAATTTAGATAAATGCTCAGAGGCAAAGTGACAAATTCAAAGAAAAATGGTTATCTGACAAAGTTGCAGTTCTTTAGTAATAACATTTGAAGTAATCCAAGAATATTTGGATCACTGGGCACAACTACAAGGTATGGGTAAAGCAGTGTCACTTCTCAAAGCTTATCTACAGGATACATGTCAACTGAAATGTGTGTTAGATACTACCTGGAGACAAAACCCTCCACTGAACATTTCAAAAGAAGTTTCTTCATACAAATACTTTGTCTCTCTTCCTTTCCACTGTCTCAGCTTACTTCCTTTCCTCACTGTTAAATTTCCCTTTGCTTAGTCTTTCTATCCATCCAGTTTTTCTATTAAAACTAAGACACCTTAAATATCATTGGCCAAAAGAAGTCAGTGTCTAATGAAGATGTAATAAATTTCTGAGTAACATTTCTATTTGTTTAGATACTAGAAAAATGGCACTTTACCCAGCTAAGGCTACTAGTCTTCACAGTATTTCATACTTTCCATCAAAAACAGTCGGATTAATTGGGTGATACTTGCTTGGAGCAGCATTGACATATTTGATAGGCTTTTAAAGAGAGAGCAGAACATCATTTCATTTTGTTTATCTACAAAGATCTTTGGGTGGGTTTTACGTTAAAATTTCAAGAAGTTATCTCAATTTAATAAAAACTGCATCCATTTCCTCACACCATCCTCATACATTCTTCCCTGGCATCTCTTACAGCTCTGCCCAGTAACAAATTAATTGTCACCGCTTATTCCATTAGGGTGGTACATGACTAAATTTGAAAAGATCTTCAAGGTTTTTTTTCTGTAAAATGAATATCTGTCAGTCTTGGATTTTAATATATGTGTACGAAGCTTTTAAGATTCCAGTCTAATATCCTGAGAAACGGACACTTAAGATAACTGATTATCCTACTTGATTTGATACCCAGAGACTAAGCCAAATCTATACACATTTGCCTGTTTCAAGGAGGCAAATGGGATTTGAGCAAGTATCTGAATCTTATCTGCAGAGGGTATAATCCCTTATCTGTCCTTCAGCCCTTTCACCTGAGGACTGGTCAGAGGCTGTAGATCTTATCTGAGCAGCAGCAAGGGCAACAGCCTTTTATTTAGTTCTCTTGCAAATGCAAAGCTACATGTAAAGCTACATTCACTCCAGAAACAGCTCTAGAACTTGTAAATGAAATGGAAATGTGACTTCTTCACTTCCAACTATTTTTTATATCATAACAGTATATTTTCAGCTCATTGGGTAAAGGCTGCTGTTATTTTTATGCATGTTCAGCAATAATGACCTTTTTATAAAGATAATGAAATAAAAAAAAAATGCCCATTTTGCTCTTTCTAATGCTAAAATTAATTTTTTCTAATCGCATACCTAAGAACACAAATACTGTCTACCATAAAGCATTTTTTCTGGTGTATTTTCTAGGCAATCAGAAGTTTGCATAAGGACTCAGATTTTCAGCTTCAGTATTAAGTAAGAAAGACTAGAGGGTGAACCCCATGAAGTCAGTTTCTCTTCCAAGCTTGTTCATTTTTACAGTGACAAAAATAACTGTAGAGTTTTAAGAAGAAGAAGTTGAAAGAGGTAATTTTCTTTTGAAAGAAGTAATTAAATCAGATTTCACTTTCTTGAGTGCTTAAGCCATAATTGGATTTGGTTTCTAGGTAGCCTTCCCGTTTCGTAGTATAGATAAGAGCTTAATTTCAGATGCATATTTAAAAGACTAAAACTATATTTTCTTCTTATCCCTTATAAAGAAAACGGTGCAAATATTTCCTTACTTCTTTGAAGATAATTTCTAAATAATCCAATATTAAAATAAAATCAGGAGATAAAAATGAGTTCATGCCTTTGAGGGTACAAACTCAGTAATTTATTAAACTGATGATTGCATGCTTTTGTATGTTTATTTGCAACTTCCCAAATGGTTATTTCAACACATCCACTCTATGTGTTTAACCGTCTCCATCTAATACAGAGGATAGATGCTTATTAGTTTAATAGCATTCTGTATAAAGAACAAACTCTTCCAGTCAGACGTCTAAATGCATTCCTCCTCCATTTCTGCATTTTGTACATTTTTTTTTTAAATTTAACTGAAATCTTGCACAGCTAGAGTCCCACCTAGGAGGCCTTTCACACTATTAAATTATCTGCAGTTGGGCTGTGTTCACTTCACTGAATAGTCCCAGTTCCACATACAAGCCTTGATGCTATAATGTCTTTATTAAAATACACTAAATCCTGCACTGTCATTGTCCTATCTTTCATGATTTTAAGATACATATTAAAGCTAATGTCTTCCTTCAGACTTTTCCAAGATGATAGATTCCTATGGTGAATCAGGCTTGTTTTTTAATCCAGATACTTTATCTTAATACTGGAATGATTTTTTTTTTTTCCTACTGACAGCTAAATGTTTGAATTTTGTAAAGGATACTTAAAGAATGAGAATAGAATTTAAGGAGTTACGAAATTAACAAGCAATCCAACTAAACAATCTTCAGTAGGGTTTATATATGAATTAATGAAAAACATAGATAAGAGTAGAAATGGTGGTCTGACAATGTACTACTGGAGACAGACTGGCTATGAAGGTGTTTGGTTACAAACTACAGATTTATTACTACATGGATGTTAAATTATTAATCTTAAAAACAGGGTGTTACAACTCGACTATTAGACTCAGTGCACCTCCAGGAGGCACATAATATTATAGGCATTTCAGTCTGAATTCCTCAACAAGCTTCTGAAAAAAGCAGTAGAGTATCTGAATTTTTCTTCCCATACACGATTTCCTACTGAATGCCATACTTCAAAAGTAATTATGTGACTGTTTATACAACATCTATCATTGATTTCCATTTTTGTCTCATGATGAATACAGAACCTTATTAAAAGTATTTTTCTATGTTAATGAAAAACAAGGTGCAAAGTACTGATTGATGGAGAAATGGAATACAGCTACTATAAATCTTAAATGTTAAGTTGTAGCTGGAAGGCTGTATTATCTTTTATTGAGAATGACCCATATTAGTAAATTGAAAAACTCATCATATCTAGGGAAGTTACTAAGAAACTGAGGGCCACAACAGAGAACGATACAAAGCAAAATAAATATGTCCTTCCTGAATGACATACATAAACATCTGTTCACATACAGAAAAGTAGATCACACTTGTCTATTTACTAATAACCTAACTCAGACTGTAAAGGAATCACTGCCTAGGAAAGCATAAGCAACAGAATTAAAGAAATACAAACAGAAAAGGCCTTCAGGAATGTTACTTGTATCATCTTCGCTAGGCTGATAAAGAATTTTTAGCTGTTGATGCAAATAATTTTATGATAACACCAATATTAGTATGGTCTGCAGTGACAGCCCTGTTGTAACAGTCCCCATCCAATGATTATGCTCATTTTTAACTGCATGTGAATACAGTTCCTGGTTGGGTTAGAACCACAAAAGAAATGTGGCAATCAAGGAACAAACTGAGCATAACACAACAAAGAGCAAATATATCTGAATACAGATGTGTAAAAATAGACGAAGTGAAGCAAAAATGTTTGCAAAAGCCTTAGACAGCACAGTAAGTGAGAGGAATTGATTCAGGAAGCAGCAGGAGCTTATAGCTATATTGGATCAAAAATCAGTGATGTAAAAGCAATATCCCCTGCATCCAGACACAGCAAATCTTAAACTGAATCAAAATGAATCTTCGTTCATCATTAATGTTATGGACCACTCCAAAGAGTATAATCCATTTTTATCTCTAAATACTAACAGACAAGATGACTTAGTGAACCAGAACAACACAGCATAACAGATCAATCTGGACTAAGAATATCACCTTCTTTGGTTGACAACATATAAATCAAGTCTATACAAGTAGTTAAAAAATATCATTAAAAACGGTGCTTTTTGTGAACTTGTGAATCATTTAGTGTGGTATTTTAAAAGATAAAATATTAATGTAATATAATTTAAATATAAAATATTAATTTCCACATACTGATTATGTATTAGCTATTCTCAGTCCAAATTCCTACAGACACACAGAAGCATAACGAGCTGACTGGAGACAAATGATCTGTAATAGTAGCTGATGTTTCAGTCCTGTTCTCCTGACTCCTAATTATTTAAACAGATTTGATCCAACCACATTAATAGTAATCATGTAGGGCAGGTTCTTC